AGCCTCTTGGAAGATTATCAATATGAAAGATGGACAGAAGTCACCTGACACAGCTGGGCCGAGGGGAGAACATGCTAGCAGAGGCAGCAGGAATATGGCACGTCCGAGAGTAAAAGCCAGGACGATAGAAATATAGTAGAAACTGGGGAGTCTGTAGAGCCAGATGGTGGCCAAGCGGGACGTTGGTCTTGCTATTGAGAAACACACTGGGAGTCATCGGAGGGTTAAGCAGAAGCCAGCTGGATTTTGTTCTGGTTCATGACGTTTGCATGAGCACAGGCCTGGGGAATGGGGTCTCTGCCTGCTATAGCTGGTCTGGCCCAACCACACAGAGGTGGCGGCTGGGTTTCCCTTGTGCTTAACCCTATGGCTCTCCTGACTTGGAAGAAGGTAGGGGCCTTTCTTCATGTCTCTGAGCCCTGTCCATGCCTCACCCACCCTGTCTCTGACAGCTGCGGATGATTGTGATGGGCAAGAATCTGGGGATCCCCAAGCCTTTTGGGCCCCAAATCAAGGGTACCTGCTGCCTAGAAGAAAAGATCTGCCAGTTGCTAGAGCCCCTGGGCTTCAAGTGCATCTTCATTGATGACTTTGACTGCTACCTGACTGACATTGGAGACTTCTGTGCCTGTGCCAACATCCGCCGGGTGCCCTTTGCCTTCAAATGGTGGAAGATGGAGCCTTAGACCCAGGCCCTGGAGCTGCTGGCTCTGCCCCAGCGTGAACAGCCCAGGGTTTCATGCAGCAACATGATTTCAGGCAGTACACCCCTTCCTTGCCCTGTTCATCAGATTCGGTAGAGTGGCAAACGCCACCAGCTCGAACCCCCCCAGGGGAAGGAGGAGATGGAAAACTGTCTTCAGCTAAGACGTGTTCACTAAATTAGCCAATAAAGCTCTAGCTGTTCTGAATGCATTTTGGCTGTAGCCTCTTTGTTCTGGGGAAGGGAGTGAGTGATGGCTGAGGATAAAAAGCTTGGCCACCCATGGTGGCCCCCTTGTGCAGGGGCAGGGATGTGGCCAAATGTTGAGCTGTTGTCCCTCCCTCTCTAACTGCTTTGTAGGAGGAAGTAGTTGGACTCAGATCATTCAAATGCTTCTCCAAGCACCTGACAATTTGGATCCAGATTCCAGAGCCCAATGTGACAGACTCCAGGCTGGGGGAGGGGAGGCCTCCCCCTGGGCCTGGTAGGAGCTGGAGGAGGCCCGGTCGGGAATGGGCAGCTGCTATCAGGCTCTTGTCTCCTTGGGGGTCTGCAGCTGTGGCCTGAGGGACAAGGTATGGTAGGGGCAGACCTGGGCTGACTTGTTAAGCCTGAAGTGCCCAGGAGAGGGCCCAAAGCCGCTTATTTCCATGTCTGACCACCCCATATTAATGGCGCAGACACTGTTAACACAAGTGAGTCACTGAGAAGGTTTAACAACCACTGCGGCTCTCCCCTGCTACCCCCCCCCCCCCAATGAAGACCTCCAGGACACCCTCTAGTCCTCAGGACAGGCCCTGAGAAGGGAGCTGACTGGTCCGTGCCCACAGTGAGTCAAAGAGCTGAGCCCCAGGGCTGTGGGCAGCAGGCAGGGGTGGCTGTTCTGTCTGCTGGGGCTGTGGGACTAGGTGTGCCTCCTGGCTGGGGGCCCCCATCCTAGGCTGTACCTGGCTACATGGCGGCCGGTTCTGCAGGGGCTCCCTGCTCCGGGTTCCCATCAAAGTCAACAGCCCATGGAGGGCTGGTCACGTGCTGCCTCAGTTTCCCAGCCTGTAGAATGAGATCACGTCTCCATGGGGTTAGTGTAAGAACGGAGTGCATGTGCAACCTTTGGCACAGCACAGCCATCATGCAAGCACCTGCATAAACAGTGTGTGTGACCTGGCTGTGTGCCTGGCACTGTGCAGAACAGTTCATTTTAGCCATCTCAACAGCCTAAGATGGGTTCTACTGTCCCCATTTTACAAACAAGAACTGTTCATATGTGACTTGCCCAAGGCCACACAGCTAGGGCAAAGCAGAGCTGGGATCTGTAGCCTGAGTTCTCTGTACTGATGACTTGGGTGGGAGCTAGGTGCACAGGCTCTGGATCAGGTGTGGGTTTTAATCTAGGAGTCACTCTGGCTCTGGCGGAGTGCCAGCCACCTCTGAGCAATTTATGGACAGCATCTTGTTAGTCTGCGCACAGTGACTCAGGGTTTATGGTCTGCACTGCTGAGAATGTTGTATTCGTGGTTGTGTCCCCTACAACAGCCTGGGGCTCTGATGCAGAACAGGCCTCCAAGTGACTCTCAAGGATGCGAAGGGATGGATCAGCTAACTAGGGCTTAAGCTGCCACTCGAGAAGCCACTATGCATTTCCAGAGAAGGGGACTTTGGATCCCAAGGGCTGGGGTTCTCTTAGGAAGAGGGGGAGTAGGGAGCCCTGGGGCCAGAAGGGGGACAGGGAATGTACACTCTCCCACCTGCCACCTGCAGGGACCTTTCCTGGGGAACTCACCCACCTCTGCTAAGGGCTGCCTGAGGGTGGGGGAGTTCATTCCTGTCCTGAGACCCTAACTAATCCCTCAACCCAGGGCTTTTCAGGCCAGCCCTGGGCCCTCCCCTCCTGCAGGGAAGTTCCCACAGGAGGCCTTGGCAGGCTCGGCCCCCTCTCTCTGGCTGCTCCTAGCAGCATGACCCCACTGGGCACCTCCTAGAGGTGTCCTTGTTAGTGTACACCTACAGCAGACAGAAAGCTGGGCTCGCCTGGCCTACACAATGTTGGAAATTTCTCTAAATTAGGCACTGGCAATTAATCCGAAGTCTGGATTTTCGGCTCCTGCTGACAAATCATTAGACTTGGCCACCCTAGGCTCACAGCTGAAGCCACACTTGCCACACCCTCTAGAGAAGATGTGCTCCAACAGGCCCCAGGCCCTGCCACTTCCCAGTGTCCCACCTACCCAGGCCAGGGGTCACCTGGCACCACCCTTGCACTACTGTCCTTCTAGTGAGGGAGGGAAAGGACTGTACCTGTCAGAAACAAGCTAGACTAAGGGCTTCATGCCTCAGTTTCCTCACCAGCACAGGTGGGGCAAGTGCTGGGTCTGCCTCCAGGTTGTGAGGACTCCATTGTGTATATGAAGCCCTACAATACCAGGCTCCAGCAGGATGCTCCACCCGTCTCTGCAGCACCCAGCACCTGCTCAAGGAGCCTCCATGCCCCGTAGATGCGTGTGCGGTCCCCAAGCCCAGTCTGTGGTTTGAGGCTGCAATGGCTGACCCAGCAAACGTGGATGGAGGCACATGGGGGCCAGTGTGGGTAAGTCCCAAACCTCCCACTGTGCCCCCACCCACCTAAGCAGTTCTCTAAATGTACCCTGCCCTCTCCTCAGGGCCTGCACGTTGCCCGGGATGCCCTCTGCTGCAAGTGCCCCGACCTCACCTTTTGGAACATTTAATGGGTCTGTTCCCCTCTCCCCTCACACCCTTCCTCCATCGTTCCTGAAGGGATGAGGTGGCCCCTGAGGTCCACTAGTGCTGTCATCCTCTAGCCACCTCCTTGGCCCTGCAGGTGCCCCCTCAGGTGCCTGCCCTTCCATGAGGGGTGGGGGCAGTTGGGGGCTGGTGGTTCATATGCTCCAGGCCCAGCAGCAGGACTGGGCAGGGACAGGAAAGTCCCCTTCCACTTTCCTGGTCCTCTCGGTCCTTCTGTCTTTCCCTGGGGGCCTACGGGACTGCCAAGAACAGAGGGCACTAACAGGCTTGGCAGGGTAGCAGGATGGCGGCAGCTCTGTGGATAAAGGACCCTCAGAGCTACTCCTGGAGAATTTGCCTTCTCTACCCCCCACCTTTGGGGACAGCAGCCGCATGGGCTCCCTGTCCTCAGCTAGGAACAAGCTGTGGAGGGTGGGTGGGGGTGTCTGTTATTTCGGCCTTTTGGCAGAGTGGCTCCAAGCACAGGTGATCCCACATGCTCCCATTGCAGCCATTTTGCTTCTGTGCCTCAGTTTCCTCTACGAACAAGGGATAACGGCCCCTACCCCTCAAGACTGTTGGTGTGGATTACAGGAGCTGGGGGTGTCACACAACACACGACGCAGCTCGTGCTCGTTTTGTGACATCCAGGAGTTGGTCTGCCACCGCATGCTTGTCCTGTGGACACTGCCTGCCTCCGCTCCAGGGCAGGATCCACTGCTGGGAAGCTTCAGCAGTCAAAGTGCTTGGCGGGGACCTGTGGCTGCACACTTCTGCCAACAGCCTGCTGTGGGACACAGGTTCTGTAGGACGGGGACAGTGCCTACCAGGAGGGGCTAGTCTGACAACTATTGGGATACCAGCATAAAGCACCCAGCACCCAAGCAGCTTGTTACCAGTATTGGAGTATCCGTGGCCGTAGGCAGCTGGTGGTTTCTGCACAAGATGGTCCAGCCTACAGCGTGGCCACATTAGCCAGCGGCAGCCTAGAAGCAAAAGGCTGTGGGCCTGGGAAGAACACCGAGAGGAAAGGAGAACACCTCGTGGCCTCTGAACACAGGACTGGCCTCCTGGTGGCCCCTGGTGGGCATCTGGCCACACTGTAAGAGGCAGGCACTGGCCTCAAGTGGCAGCCTGTGCTTAACAGAGTTTCTTCATGAAGTGTTTAGGGGGATGTATATAGATACATGTTTCTGGGTACAGAGTAGGTGCTAGACATTGTTCTGGATGTTTTCCATGACTGATCTCTAACTACCCTCTCAAAGCCCCAATAAGAAAATGAAAAACTCCATTTCTGAATTGAACACCCGAGGCACTGACCCCCCATTGCCCATACATTTCAAGAGGCAGAGTTGGGGACTCCACTCACCTCCCAACCCCTGTATAGTCTAAGCCTAGCGACTTCCCTGGGGCTTTCTTTCTCGTGACATCCCTTTTTTGTGGGGGCAGGGGGTTGGGGTCCTGGGGCTGGGGGGTGGTGCACATGTCCAAAGTGCTGAGAAAAACGGAGCCCCTACGTGCACTACATTCCACTGAAAAAGAAACGCAAAAGCCAAGACAGAGTAAACAATGATGTCGTTTATTTAAAATGTTTACTCCAAGAAATATATATATATATATATATATATAAAAAAAGACAATTACAGCACTAAACCAGGCACCTTCAACCAAATCACCACCTCCTCTTCGATTCCCCTTCACCCGAAGCCATTTCCTTCCAATTCTCCTTCCTGAGCTGGAAGACTTGCCCGACGCCCACAGGGTCACTGCACAGCACATTCCCAGCCCAGTCACTTTGTACCTTTCTCTAGGAGTGCAGGACGCCCTCCCACACTGGCTCAACACTTGTTCTAAAGGATTTTCCCCCATTAGGAAGTTCATTTTTAAATTCTAAGCCAAAAGGAGTGAGTGTGGGAGGGAACACTTGGAAGACTCCAGAAGAGGCTGGTTGCCGGTTTCAGGTTAGTCCGCTGGAAAATCCGAGCCAAGCTCAGCCAAGGGCAGCTACTACAAAAAGCTGGCCCCAGTTAAGTGCTTCCTCAACCCTCTCGTGACCATATGACTCAAGGGAGACCTCAGGGTGCCAGCAGCACAGATGCCTGGGCCACACTCCAGGAAAGAGACTTGTCCAGGGAAACATTAGGTTCTACACATGGAAGCTTGAGTCAGAGATGGTGGTTTTGGAGTGATTTGGACAAATTAGGTTAGTTTAGCAGAAGCTCTGAAGTTGCAGAAGCTTCTCCCCTGGACTAACTGATTGAACACAGGACAGTAGAGATGAGCATGAAATCAGACTGAGTCTTATAAGATGCAGGCCAGTCTCCTTCCACAAGGCCTTGGGACTGGCTGCACAGATACTGTCACATGCCCCACAGGGCAGGAGTCACTCTAAGAAGTGACTGGCATGGGAAGACGGGAAAAAGCAACGACTATATCGTTTTTGGCATTTTAACATCAAGACAATGACAAGTGGTAACAACAGCAAAAGCAAAAAAAAAAAAAAAAATTAAAGGCCAATATTTAACTTTCCCAACCACCCAAGTCTCACACTTAAGTTCTATCCCCATCTCCCCCATAAGCACCACTGAACTAAAAATCTATTTTAAAGCACCCAAACCAGTCCAGACCCCTCTGGAAACCAAGAGCTCCAGCCAGAGCTGTCGCCTCTCTTGGGTCCGAGTGAGAGGAGGGTTCCGGGAAAGGCACCTCGTAACTCACGCAGCGCTCAGCAGCACTGGTGACGAGCTCGGGCAGAGGGCACTTGCCAGGGGAGCGGGTGGCAGTCAGCATCCACACTGACACACAGGAATGGGGGACTTCTTCAGCAATCCCAACTATTTGGTACCAGAGCCAAGCAAATGCAACTAAAGGAGCTGGGCTAGCAGAACGGTACCCCGAGTCTCAGAAACAGGACAGCCTGTTCCAGGCAGGATCCAGCTGGGGGAGAGAAAGACAGAAGCACAAAGGCCACACGGCTGGTACGACAAAGGGCTGATCCTTCAAGCCAGGCCTGGAGAATGCACTTTTGACTGTTGGCTGATCAATCTCTAATTGGCGAGTGCTAGTGACAACAGGCCCTGGCTCCACAGGGAGCCATAAAGCTGAACCTTTAGACAGATACAAATGTTCCCCATCTCTGCCCCACCCCCCAAGTCCCCATGGTTCCATCATCACCTGATTTTCATTTGGACTCCTTTTACAGATAAAGCAGATATAAATGGCTAAACATAGACCCCAAAGCCCCCACCAGGGGGGATACGGCAGATTCTATTAATGTTGCAGCCAAAAGGCTGTGGGGCTTACAAGCAGCCACGGGGAGAAACAGGACAAACACCGGCTTCAGCCAGTCTGCAAGAAAAAGCAGGCAAGGAGTGACCCAGATGCTTCCAAAGCACACAAGCGTAATTTTGGATGGAGACTGACCACCAGGGACCGTCTTTCTCCAGATGCTGCTGGTTCCCGTAGGGGACACTTTTCAGAGTACATGGCAGTTCCTCTCCCATGGAGCACCCACTCGGATCACAATGCTAATTACAACTGGAAAGGGATGTTTTTTTGCAAAGTGTACTTAGAATGAAAAATGAAAAACAAGTTAAGAAAAAAAACCTTAGGCTGCTCAAAGTTTCTGCCTCTTTTTTGTAGGAATGGTAAGTCAACTATGAGCAAATATTTTAATCAAACATGAAGAGGGGGAAAAAACACTTTGGAAAGCATACAGAAAAAGGTAGTTAACGTTGAATTCACTTATAAAACGGAACCTCAGGGAGTCTAACAAAAATGCACCTTCGGTCAACTTTTGCTTCTTTAAATTCCTCATTTGACTTCACGTCCCAGTGCACATGGAAATGACAGCTGCCGCGAGAGGTGGAGAGGTGGAGGCGTCTCCAGTAGCATCAGAGGGTCCGGGGGTTGTACTCTGGCAGTTTCTTGATCTTCTCTTTCTCGGTCTCACTCTCATCTCTCGCTACCACCAAGGAATGAGAGTAGCCCATGGCAACCTGCAGGAACAAATCAGTGTGGGGTGAGCATGAAGCAGACAAACACAAGGCCAACGGACACCGGGATACTGATAAGCTGGGATGGCAAAGTGGGTCAGCACAGAGGAGATACACAGCTCCCCTGAAAAGTATACAAAACCCTTCACTAAAGACAGCTAGTCTCGATATGATCCCGTCACCAGTGCCCTGCCAACCAAAGCCTCCTATGCTGCCACAGGCCATCCCGATGGAAAGAAGCCCCTGAGCCATCTCTGTGGGCAGCGACTGGCGGGAGATGCAGATCTAGCTCCCTGTGCCATCTGCCTCGTGTGAGGTGCATGCCCCACCTGCATCTCGGCAGACAAAGGCTGGCAGCCAGGCTGACTTACAGCTGGGTCTCGCCACGGCACCTGCCCAGTGCGGTTTGCACTTGGAGGCCCTGCCCCGCCCAGCAGTGCATATCAGTCTTGGGCAAAGGCACGATGGAGACGCGAGGGATACGCTCGCCCTGGGAGCGAGTCTGCTGTGGCAGAACAGTGGTGCGTGTCACTGAGGGTGAGGACAGCCCCCAAGCCTGGCCAGCCTCCCTCTGCATTTCCTACTCCTCCTCCTGGTGGCTGTTACCCATGAGAAAACTCCAGAGAGTAAGGCAGAAGGAAAACCGGTAGAGGAGATGTCATATAAGATAGACATATGGTGTGACTTGGCATGACATTTCTCTCTGCCACCAGCGCTGGCCTTTTGCTTTTCGCTGGTGAAGTAGTGCACTCACCTGTTCTGAGAAGATGCCATCCAGAGTCTTCACCTCTTGGGCTGCAGTGGAAGACTTGGGCTTGTGGTCCCCGTAGCCCTGGCAAAGCAAACAGCAGACGCTCACAAAAATGGGGATCGGCGTGCCACAGCCAAAAAAGGGACTAATGACGTTTCTGGGCATCCCACTAGCCATGAGCCACAGATAACACCCTTGGCCCCTCCTATGACCTCCTAGTCTGGTGAAGTCGTCAACATTTATCCACAAAAACTGCTGGCAAAGGTGCTTCACTTGAGGATAACCAAGAAGTTCAATCCTAACCTGTGGGGATTTATGCGGTAACAGAGACCTCTGGGGGAGGACCACATGGTGACAGGAGATGACACTTCGAGCACAGGAAGAAATGGCAACCAGGACCTTTCAGGACCACAAGGCCTCAAAGAACACAGGCCCACCACATAACCACAACACCTCTGGGATCTAGTGGGCTGTTTTAAGAGCAAAAGGATGTGCTGTTTATTGCTCCTACCGGAGACAGAAGGGACTGGTCAAGGACTGTTAAGGGGCGTCACATACAGGGGCGTGGACACGGGAGATTTAAAGGCGGTACACCCCTTGGTGCAGCTGAAGCACAGGGCCTCCAGAGCAGGAGAGGCAGGACCTCCCTTCCCCAACCCAGGCCTGACCATTTCTCCTTGCTTCATCTCCAACAGGCCCCACCACCTGCCTCCCCACACAGTGGGACGTTCCTCCAAGGTGCCACGCCATCTTGTTAACCCTGGGAGGCTTCCCCAAAAGTCCCCCTTCTCAAAATTCATATTTAGAAGGTCAAAATCTATTTCTGAAAATCCCCCCCCAAAACCCATCCTTCTCTGAGAACAAGCCATAGAAACTGGGCCAGGTTCTCAGGCTTTTTCCTTTCAGCGTTTCAAATCAGGCCACCTCTGAAGCGGCCAGGCCAGTGTCTACTGCACGTGGGCTGCCTCTGAGCCACCAGAGCACAAGTGTAGGCAGGGCACCGAGCCAAGGAGCAAGCCACCCCCAATGTCCACTGAGGCACACAGGACCCAGAGAAGTCCCTCCATCCCTCCTCTCCAGCAAGAGGGCCAGCCCCTGCCACGAGAGGAGGAGAGCATGGGGCAAGGAGACCACGCAGGTTTCCAGAAGGAAAGGAGAAAAACCTGAGACAAACTGCCAAGAGCCAAGATGAGGATCAAATCTTGACCAGAGCTTGGCAGCCACACCACTCTTCTGCACAAAGAAGTCAGAAGCTATAGATTTGACAAGCACCAAAAATTGCCAAGCATGGGAAATCGAGGGCCACCGCTTCTAACCTCATCACTCAGATAACCTAAGTTAAGAACAGAAGCACAGACTTCAACCTGATTTAGGAAAAATGAGGGATGTGGGCTGGCCAGTTAGCTCAGCAGATTAGAGCACAGCCTTACAACATGGGTTCGGATCACCATACTGGCCAGTCACCAAAAAAAAAAAGGAAGACTGTCCCTTGTCCCTGGATCACCTATGAGAACAGCCCAGTGGCGCATCACTCAATGGAGTGCAAATGAACAGCCAATGCTGCCTGCTGAGCTACAGGCACACAGGACACACGCTAGCCCGTCAGGTGGTTTAAAGTGACAGTTCCTGCTGACTTAAACCCCGTTGGGGAGAGGGAAGAAATGGGTCTCTTTCCTATCACTATCACACCACAGTCTTATCTCGTCTATGGCTTACGAAATGCAAGTGGAAATTGGATCTGAAACTTCCAAATTTCCGTATTTCACAATGTTGACAAATGACTTTCATAATTATTTGATGGGCAGAGAATCATCCTTGAAAGCTGTGACCCAATGATTATGGAATGTTGTCACCTTAATGCAACAAGAAAAAAACCCACAAAAACTCACTCATTTTTCTTCTGCCTATTTTTAGGAGGCAGGTTGAGAGAACCCAGTAGGCCAAGAGCTGGCCAGTCTGGGCGCCCCCGTCCCCGCACAGGCTGGCTTACCAGTTCCCCGAAGGTCGGTGACGGGCCCCAACTGATAGTGCTCTCATCTGCAGCCACGATGATGCTGCTCTTCCTGCAAACAGGCAGAGGCTGTCACCACCGCGTCCAGCAGCCCAGCCCAGCACCCCACCCGGCCTCTGCGGTGCTTCCCAACTGGCTACCTGCTCAAGAGCATGGGTGTGAGTTACTTACTGGCTTTGCGAATCAAGGACATCCCCCACTAGAACTTCCACAACATACTCATTGCCAAATAAACATAATCAAGGGGCCAGCAGGCTTCTCCTGACCCTAGAGATTGTCCCATGCAGGCCACTTTGACCAACAGCAGAGCCCTTAGACAGGGTCGGGAACAAAAAGCCAGGGGACCTCACAGCCACGCCTGCCCTGCGTTCTTGGTGGGAGGTCTCTTTGGAAGAACACACACACGGGAAACGAGACCGAGTCATGGTGAAGTGAAAGCCCATTCCATGGGAGTGGACTTCACACTACGCAGGAAAGGGCAGGAGATTTCAACAGGCTAAACAACTAGGATGATCCCTGCCCCCCACACCTGCCAATTATATAACATAAACTCCTCACCAAGAAGTGGCGGGTAACAGATGTCCTTACATAAATTGAGCAGCATTGATTTAGATACTTTCTTGAGCTAGCCAGTTAGCTCAGTTGGTCAGAGCACACTGTTACATTATAACACCAAGGTCAAGGTTCCCATACCAGGGAGCCGCAAAAAATTAATTAATTAATTTTAAAAACACACTTTCGGGCTGGCCTGGTGGCGCACTGGAGAGTGCGGCGCTTGGGAGCGTGGCAGCGCTCCCGCCGAGGGTTCGGATCCCACATACAGACCGGTTCCCGCTCACTGGCTGAGCGTGGTGCGGGCACAACACCGAGGGTTGCGATCCCGTTACCGGTCAGTAAAAAAGACAAAAAGGAAAAAAAAATAAAAAATAAAAAAATAAAAAGACACTTTCTTCTTCCCAGTGTGTCAGAGTCACTAAAATCCCACTATGTTTCCAACTAAGTACAATTTTGAGCCTGCCACATAAATAGAGCACACCAGGCTTGGTATGCTCTGCTTTGTATTTTTTCGAACAAAAACTTTCAAAACGACTCTTCTTCCCATGAAGACAGGGAAAGGAACTATCTCTTCTAGAACCTAGCAAGCCCTCTCCCCTCCTGTACCTCCCTGCCCCCAGCTCCAGAATTCAGTGCATTTGATGACCTGACAGGGAGAACCCCACAGTCCGCAGGAGAGCAGCCCCCCTTCTGAGGGGAGGGAAGAGACACATCGTGGGTGCACCTGACACCCCTGAGGAAAGAACAGACGCTGCATTCATCAGGACACGCTGCCACCTACCCACAAGCCAGGCTCCGGATTCTCCAGCCACAGAGGTCCTGCACTGCTTTCGGGTACATGGTAGACTCACGGGAGGTGTTGGTGGCTCCCCAGAAAAACAGACCACCTGGGGGAAGACAAAACAAGTTCCCACCGTGCCCAGACAGCTCAAGAGCTGAAGTGTAATCTCCAGCACTGTCAAGGTGATCAAAGGACAAGCAAAGCATTCTGTTTAAAGGAACACTGGAAGTCAATCAGGGTCTTGGGAAAGGACCATGGCTATGTGGTTCCCCCACAGCAGCACTAATCTGCGAGGGAGGGAAAAACCACAACTTGGTTCTGGACACCCTCCTCCCAAGGCACAGGCAGGGAAAGAAACCACTAACCCACTTCGCTGACAGCAAAGGAGCAGGTGTAACCAGCATAGATCTGGGAGGCCCCACGTCCAGGGAAGTCAAACAGCTTCACCAGGCGTGGCACCATCTCGTCCTTCTGTTCCGCGTGGCCCAGCCGGCCATAGCCACCAAAGCCCCATGAGAAGACGCGCTTCTGGGAGTCTAAGACCAGCTGCACAGAGAGGAAACGCAGGGTTGGGGTCGAAGAGGCCTCCATGCAACAGGAGGTGACGAGAGGGGTCACTGTTTCTGTCCAGAGAGCCTGGTGCACAGCTAACCCAAACAGCAGCGTTAGAGATAAGGGTAACCTACGTCTGCCTCCCACGGTGGGGACCAGTCAATAGGAGCAAGTCAAGTCGCATGATGCATCCAACACAAGGCCAGTTCACTATTTCCTCTGCCAGGAACTTTTTCTTTTGGTCACAAGTTTTTCCCTTTCCCTCGTCAGAAGCAAGAGGGCTACGTCTCCAGACAGGAGGGCAATGCATCCCATTTCCTATTGCAACACAGGTTAAACTAAACTGCAGAAAGAATCAAGGAAAAAAGGCCTACCTGTTCTGAGTTTTGCCTTTCCCCAATTTTTCTTTAGGCTTCCTCTGCCTATAGGTACACACAGGTAACCTGCACCTGGTCACTGATGAGGCAAGCACACTGACATGTCAACTGTTTAAAATCTGTCTTCTACAGGGCTGGCCAGTTAGTTCCGATGGTTAGAAATGGTGCTGGTAACACCAAGGTCCAGGGTTCGAACCCTGTACTGACCAGCTGCCAAAAAAGTAAGTAAAGTAAAATCTATCTTCTTTTCTTCAGTATCTTTGATGTTTCACATCTGAACCACGTAAATGCAGAACTTACTTGACATAAGAGGCTGTAAACAAGATCTAACTTTCTTCTCCCAGCCACCCTATACAAAATAGAATCGGTTTTTGGACTTGCAGGAACATAATCTTGTGAAAATTGTATGCATTCTACATTCAGATTGGGTTGCAATGAAAAACTTATTTGTTACTGAGGGTTAGAGTCCAAAAAAAAAAAAAAGTTAGAAGCTACTGATCCAAAGGAATGGTCCATGAAGTCCGATCTGCAGCCCTCTTGGGGGCCCCAAGGAGCCCCAGATGGGCCAAGAAAGGACAGAAAAGATCGACACAGAATTCCAGACTTCTTTTATGAATTAGCAGTAACCAAAATGTATCATTATGGGTTGTTAAAGCCTGGAATTTATACACTCCGACTATCACAAGGCCAGAGTTCACAAGGACCTAGCTCAGCACACCTTGAACCAGGAGTCCCGGCTGCTGCACAGTCCTGAGAACATGCCAGACACTTGTGCTCCTGTGGTTGCCACCACATCAGCAGTGCTGTTATTCGTAGTTTTAACCCCCCACTATTTCCACATTGTAATGATCAGCTCATCAGCTGTGACACTGTCATATCACAGTTTGTAAGTTGGCCCCCAGCTGTTGGCAAATTCCCCTGTATGGTATGCCTGTTTACACATCGACCCTTTAGTAGTGTGTGTGTGTGTGTGTGTGAATGCTGTGCTATTTAAATACCCTGGGATCATAACCAAAACAAGCACAGTAAAATTGCTGGGTTTGTTTATAGAGCACTGTTTGATAACTTTGCTCTCATTTGCAGTTCGTATTGACACTAGCTCTCCACTCTTGACAAAGTCTCTTTCCACCAAACGTGTCTGTCAATTTAAAAGTCCAAGATCACTGCTAAGGAATTCCATCTTTTCAAGGCTATGTGAATTTAAGGACATCATAGTAAACTGACTGCACTTAAGAACATGGGAGCTCTCTCTCACCCCCCCAAAATGCTATTTTTAAACATCTGCACTCTTCTGAAAAGGTTTCACTGAAGAAGCCAAATGATTTGAGTCCTTTCCACTTGCTATCAAACTGCTGGGTACTGCACCAGACAACCTCCAGAGGACAGGGAGGCACATTTTGGGACTGTTTTGTTCCTTCCACCTCCTTTAAGCAGCTGCACACCACACCTGCTCTTCCCCAAAGTGCAGGCAGCAATGACATCAGAAAACATGGAACAAGGAGGCCTCCCTGCTCCTCTGGAGAGGTGACAGCTTGCTAAGTTAGAGTTAAATGGCATGTTCTTATCTTTGCCTTGCTTGACCCAGTAAATACACTGCAAGAAAGAGCACGGGCGAGCCTGTGCTAGAGATACCCTTCCAAGGTCACATGTGTGCTCTAATTCTAAAAGGCATCCGTGTGGATTTAGACAATGAGATTCAGAACACGTTTTAAAGCTGTGACGAAGACCTGATTTTGCAGACATAAATCGAGCCATTTCACGAAACTACCTTGAAGGGAGTCTAAGCTGAGCAGACGAGAGTCTGCATAAAGTGCTTCAGTGGTGACGGGTACACCCAGTAACTGCTCCAGGAATGCCAGCCGTCACTGTCACCACCCAAGATCGTTTCACTATTCCTGAAGGAAAACGGACTTGCTACGGTAAGGAGCCTCTCTGCGGATGCAGGAGGCGCAGACACCGCTTCCGCCGGGACGCCAGGGCCGTGGCCATGGCAACAGCCTCTGGACAGCCCCCAGCAACTCCCGGCAACTAACGCCAGTGCGCGTGAGGGGCTGCTCTTTCGTATTCACTTCTGACTTGGGGTATATTTAGTTTCACGAAGTCACTGTTCCCTGGAGTCTGGGGCCAGCGAGTCGTTCGCGCGTTCTATTTATTCTCTTTCCATCTGCGGCAATGACGCCCAGGCCTCCCCGCCCCCGCCCAGGTCCTGGGGCTGCTGCGACCGCCCAGCTGCCAGCAGAGGGCGCCCGCGCCTCGCCGCCTACTCGGAGGACTCCGGAGAAGGGACGGGACGGGGCGGGGGCGGGGGATGCCTGGAAGGAAAACAAACACTTTGGTGTTAGATAGGGAAAGAACATGGAAACCTTGCAAAATCAGGATTGGAAGACATTGCCTACTTACTGAGAATTGCTTTCTGAGTTTTCCTTTTTCGTTCAATGAGAAATAAGTAAATATGTCTTTGGTTTACATTCTCTTTAGGGATAAAAAGTGGGCAGAGATCCCAGGTCCTCGGACATATATAGGGGCTCCTGTGCGCCAACTTGAGATAATCACCCAGGCCAGGGTTTTCAGAACAAACTTAATTTTGTAATTTTCTTATTTTCAATAAAGGCAAATCTTTTTTTCTGGCAGCCGGCTGGGACAGGGAACCGAACCCTTGACCTTGCTGTAACAAGGCTGCGCTCTAACCAACTGACCTAACTGGCCAGCCCAGGGCAGATTTTTAAATATGAAATTGAATGGAGGTGGTTTGATTTCTTTTTTTTCAACTTTGAAACCCTTTTATATAAATGAATTCCCAAATCAGAAAAAGAATCTTTTGTCAGACTCCAGTCCTGGTTTTTTCATTGAGGCAAGTCATTGTAACACTCTTAAGTCTGTGAGTCACGACACGCTGTTCTACTAAACATGAGACCCACTTAATGGATAAAGGCTATTATCTGAGATCAATTACCCACATTTCTAACACGTGTGTGCAGCCCCACACTGATTCCTGGTTCTGAATATGCAGTTAGATTACAGAGCTTTTTAAAAATATACTTCCATACCCAGCTGACCATATTCAGGGCACCCAAAGGAATAGAGGTTTCCTTTGCAGTCCATTATCATACTGAATTCAGCCCCACAGGCCATTTTGGTAATTGGCTGGCCGTTGTACATTATCTGAAAAGAAAAGACAGTAGACTTTCAGACATTTTTAAAAAGACTGATAAAAACTCTCTACCTCTCTGCATGTTGGTGCGAAACAATTACAAGGTTACAAAGGAAATTCAATGGGCATTTCTATAACACAAAGCTTAGAATGTATGTAAAGAAACACCCTTGTGACCCCCCGCCTTCCCAGTACAGAGTAGAGTTCAAGGACAGGTAAATCACATCCCTGTCTTTGTACCCCTGAAAATGCTCCTCAGTGTGCCTCACAAATCCTGGTGCTTCATGAAAGCTGAATTCAATGACCGGCCACAGGAACAAGGGTCAGAGGAAGAGAAACTGACACGCAACTCCCAACCCTCTCCTTACCCGCTAGTTGCTACATCAGCCCCCATTTACAAACAAAAGCTTTTACTAGCATTGCCCATCAGTTAGAATGAACTACTTTACATTCTCTTTTACTACTGTAGAGCTACTTGATTAATTAGTCTTAATTGAAGGTGTGAACAGAAATAAAATGGTTCAAAACTAGGAAGTCAGAGAAAGACAGAGGCAAAGGCTCTGAGTAACTTAACGTGGGATTTGGAAACAAGTCTAAGATGGAACTTAGAAAACTTGCTGTTGCAAATTAATCGGTCTGGAAAAGCCCTTGACGAGAACGGGAGAACAGCAGCAAGTGACAGAATTACTGCACACCAGCAACGAGAGCTAGAGGTGGGACCTGTGGCTCCCAGCCCACGTCCATCAGCCTTGCTCACCCTGGAACCTGCTGATTCCACTGCAGAACAAAAGGCTGGCAAAACGGGAAACACTGAAAAAACCCTTCAAACCAGATAAGCTTCGTTGCTGTCTCTGTTTAAGACCAAGAAAACCTTCTCCCCTTCCTTCACCTCAGCCACCAATTAGGCATGTAGCATTCTGCTGCCTCTTATCAGAAGTTTGTTTTTTAGCATAAATCCTATGCCTCCAACTTAATCATACATTCCTCAGGAACAAGAGGCTGTCTCTTATCTGAGTTCAGAGCACCTACCAGGTGACTTCACGTAAGGTCAAAACAAAGTACTACAGATAAAGACAAATGACATTCATACGGAATAAATGGAATAAAACAGGCTTAGAAAAGGCCTCTGTAACCAATTTTTCCACTTAGAAAAACTTTTCAGCATGTTTTCAACCTTATCACAAACTAAACCTGTTTTAAAGAGTACGACACGTGAATTCCACTTAAAGCATCTAGACCGTCTCTTTGCAAGGGGTCAATTCAATCACACAATGGGGAGAAATACATGACCCCCAATTTTTTCTGATTTTTTTGTGGCAGAAAATCAAACACATGAGTCAAGAGACCCGACAGGCTGGGAGCCTGGGCTGGGGAGGAGGTTACCTGTGCGGGGCTGGGGACGGCGTCCGTCTGATTGCCCAGGCCCAGCTGTCCCATCTTGTTCTCCCCAAACGCAAACACAGAGCCCGTTTCTGAAAGGAAAGAAAAACATCACAATAAAAAAATAATGCTAACCATTTTGAACTAGGTTTGGAACCAAAGGCATCAAAATAATATAAACATTGCCAGACACAATGCAAGGAAGACAGCGTCCAAAAGATTGTGGAGCAGATACGCCAGAGCCAAACCATCTCATGCCTGCCAGAGACGCAGGTGCAGAGTAGAGGCAGTGCATGGCCCGGGTCCCCCAGACAGGCCTCCTGTGACTGCGGGGGAGGCTCTTAACACCCTCAAGAAGCCACCCACCACCCAGCTCTCAGGGCATCTTTCTGATCTGGACCAAGAACAGCATGGGCCACCCACCCCCACTCCCGACAATTTGGCATCTTGCCAAATTTAGAAGGCACTGCCAGCTCCTTACCTGTCAAGGCCAGGGTGTGGTTCCGCCCACATGCTGCAGACACAATCAGTTCATGGCTGAGACCTTCAATGGGTTTGGGGGCTTCAACTCTCTTGGTGTCACCATGTCCCAGCTGCCCCTTCTCATTCCGACCTGCAGATCAAAGTGAGATGAAGTGTGAAGGAGACAGCGTGGCCCAGCAACACCCCAGGGGCAAGTGTGAACAGCTGCAAAAGACCAATCTGTCTCTCCTTGAAGGTGCCTCCAACTCAACAGCTAGGATCCCAGCGAAACAAAGCTCTAGTTTCTCAACCCCCGGGAGTGGGGTCAGGTGGCCAAGGTAAGATCTGGGGCTGCCCCTGGAGACGTCTCTACAAGTGGCAGCCGCCAGCAACAGGTGCCTGTGACACCTTTAGCCTCTTTCCTAGGGCAGCAGTGGGACCACCATGGGCACCTCCCACATCGCTGTGACCAAGGCAAGTGGAAGCAGCACTCCGTGTGGCCAATGCCATGCACAAGCAGGAGAGCTGCTGACACACACAGCTCTTGCTCCTCACAGTGCCCTCAACCCCTCCACTGAGATGTGGTTTAGGACGGTAGCCACGTCAACACCTGACTTGAAGTTTAATTAACTCAGTGCTCTGGGCATTGACCGGACCATTTGGTTTCTGTGCATCCTTTCTCTGCCCTATAAAGGGTGCTCACAGAATAGTGCCTACCCCACCTCCTAGGGACGGCCCCTCACAGGTGAATCTTGGTGACAACGTACGCAATCCCTCACTGCCAGGGGAGGGGGCCCATCTCCACCTCGGGAGCTACCCTGGCCTGGCCAAAGCCCCGCACCTGTGCATTCATGGAAGGAAAGCCTGAGGGGCCAATTTCTGCCACTGAGACTTCTATAGTACACAGGCCCTCAGGAAAATCAAATTTGGCTCTAAGACAGACGTGGCAAGTTGGGTGCGCCAAAAAGGCAGGCTACAATTGCCTAACCTTACCTAGTGTCCAACAGGCTATAAGAGTTCCGGAACAAACAACCTCAACGAGCCACTCTTGGGTCCCTCCCACTAAGAAAAGAACCGCACATATAACCTAGTATTTGGGGAGACTTATGAAGATTTTTTTTACAGGGCCAAAAAGTCAGAGCAATTCTTAGGGAACTTCAGACCCTTTCCCAACAATGAACTTTCAATTTTGGGTCACAAGAAATGGGGAGAGCAGGGCCAAAGACCAGCGCCAGTTGCCCAGGAGGCAGCTTGTGGAGTCAAGTGAAGATCCTGCCTACATGAGGAATTCCCACAATGAGGAAACCACCCTTGGTCAGGTACTTCAATTAAAGGCTGGCTAGCTCCAGGGCCAGCACAGGCACTGCAGCAGGAGAGGCAGACGCCAGCTTCCAGCGGGAGCTGCCCAAGTTCACTGTGAAAGGCATGGCAAACCCAGAACAGGCGTGGGGTGCAGTTTCTGCTGGGCTCAGCATGCTGAGGCATGAGGCTGAGTGGCCCGCAGGTGCAGCCCCATTTGAGCAACGTGCCAACCACTGTCCTGTGGCATTGATGCTCATGGACACGGGAAAATGCCCTCTGCCTTTTGGAGTGATCACTGGTGGACTTGTGACATCCCCCAGCACCACTGTCTGCTCACTGGGCCACATGTGCCTACTCTGGAGGGACTGGTTAGATGGTTAAACATGCATGGGTCCCAGCCCATGGGGTCAGCAAACAGGACGTTTTTTAGAACCACCTCGTAAGTGAAACTCAGGAAAGAGATTAGAAATAAGACATTTTAAGTCTGGAACAGAGACACAAAAGCCTGTGTTCAGCGCTGGAACATGAAGTAGGAGGGGTGCTCTGCAGGGAGGGACACACCTCAATGCCAACTGTGAGAAAACAATAATCATGGCAATGTCGGCATGTCACCAAGAGACTATAAAGTATAAATGTGGGCCAGACACACTTGTTAGCTTTTTTCAACAGAATTTCAAAATTAGCAGAGTGCAGGGAAGATAACAGATGTTAATATTTGGACTTTGATACAGCAGCTCATGAAATTGCAAAAAATGGTTCAAATAGACCGAAATAAACACACAGTCATATGGACTAAAAGCTTGCCAAGGACCAGAAACAAAGGGTAGGGACAAACACCAACACATACCCAGCTGGAAGAAGAGTCCAGGAGCTACCAGAAGGGCTTGGGGACAAAATGAGCCTTAGTCAATACCTTATTAATGATCTGGAAGAGGAAACAGGAACAAGAGGAGAGCCATCTGCAGAGGACACCGACAGAGAAGAGCTGCTAAGAGGCAGGGACAGGGACCATCCTTAGGACCCAGGTAGGAAAAACAGCAGAAGGGAAAGCAAATCAACTCCAAAAAGGAAACTAAAACATCTGGGGAACTACTATAAGAAACGGACAGAACGGGCAGCGGGCCACACAGGCTGTGGGCCACACAGGCTGCAGACCTGAGTGAGCCTCAGAAACAGATGACCGGGACTACGGAGACACACCACCTGATGTGAGGTGGCAGCTGTAAAAGCCAGTGGCATTGACAGTGGCAGGACCAGAGGTCTTATGTCACACTGTGCGGCAAAGCAAGAAGGGACTGTTGGCTGGAGGCATGGCATGCCTAAAATAGGGACTCAATTGCAGGCACCGCGACATCAGAAAGATCAAGAGTTAGAATATTCAGGAAAAGGCTGCTTAAAAACAAGGATTCAAAGAATTAGGGGGCTATGTATGGACAAAAAATGTCAGAAAGGTGGAAGGAGAGGATTCATTTATAGGATACAGATGAGACTAGTTGGAAATCAGGAAGAGAGGACACAAGAGCTGCACATAAAGGGGGTCCGCCCCACAATGGAAGGTACTTACCCCAGCTCCATAGCTTCCCCTCCGTGGTGATGAGGAGGCTGTGGGCAGCGCACGAACCCGAAACCACTGTCCGCACCCGGACCCCCGACAGGCACCCATATCTGTGGGGCCCCCACAGATTCTGACCGAGATTGCGGTAAGCAGCTGCAAAGAGAATGCAAATCAGACACCCATGGGGCGGTGATGGATAGGTGAAGGACACCCCCAAATGTCACTGGCCACCGAGGGGCAGGTGCTCCTTGGACTGCTGTACTGGCCTGGCTATCCAGAGGCTGCATGAGGATAAAGCGTGCACCTCAAATCTCTGTGATACCTCTCAGGGCCCAAAGAACTGCCCACCAGAAGCTGACATGGACCTGGCCTCACTGGCCACCTCTACACAGATGTTGCCCCAGCTTTGTCAGAAGGCCCACACACGAGCCCTCCCTGAGGCTAGGTGAGGCCGACTGGGGAAACCTCCCTCACCCAGGAACTCTAACCTGTGCCTCCCCTCTCCCTGCCCTGCTCTGTCCTCCCAACCAGGACGGACTTCTTCGGGCTCTATCGGAGACCTTTCCAGCAGCTCTCTTGCCCGCCACCTCAGGCCTCCCCCCCGCCACCAGAGGAACTTTCCGAGCTGTAACCCTGAGTGTCCCCATCCTCTTACAAACCTCCTGCCCTCTTAGCACATCTATCAGGCCCTTTGAGGGGCTCTGCTGACACCCTCCCCACTCTTCTCCAGCCACTTGAGTATCCTCCTTTCTCAGGTGTCCCGGTGTTGGTCAGTTCATGACCTCCTGTGACTGCTCATATACTGGTTTCTCCCAGAATATCCTTTCCTGCCTCCCACTTTTCTTCAAAACTCAGGTCAGGCACCCCTCCTCTGGGAAGCCCTCCTGGCCCACACCTGACTTAGAGTTTACCCTTTTGCCCAGGACTCCCTGCCCCAGCACCCTGCAGAGACTATCACAGCATCTTTACTGAACTTGTCTGCCCTCCTATTCTATGATAAGCAACCCAAAGGCCAGCGCTGTGGTCCCCTCTTTAGCCCAGGGCCTTGCAAACGCCTGGCACTCAAGAAGCGCTCAAAAACAGCAGGGCTGTAGGAAGGAAAAAGAAAGAGCCACCCCTTCAAAATCCCCACTTCTGCCCTATTAGTGGACAAGGGCATGGCCCATTTTTTGCTTAATTTTTTCAATTTGGGGCTCTCGAGAGTATTCCCAGAACTGCCGTGACTATTTTGAAATGCTAGTCACCGCCAAAGCAAGTGTAGAAACTAAAAAACGGATCTCTCCATCCAGCACCTGGCTCCTGGGAAAGTTATCTGCAGTTCTGTCTCTACCACCTATTCTGCCAGCAGAGAGTGCCCGTGCTCCCCTCACTCAGTTACAAGGGCAAGTCCCCGTCATGGCCAGGGTTCAAGGCCGGTCCGACGGATCTCTCCATCCAGCACCTGGCTCCTGGGAAAGTTATCTGCAGTTCTGTCTCTACCACCTATTCTGCCAGCAGAGAGCGCCCCTGCTCCCCTCACTCAGTTACAAGGGCAAGTCCCCGTCATGGCCAGGGTTCAAGGCCGGTCCGAGGCTGCAAACCATACTTGGCACAACAGCAATGTACCTGAACAGACCTCTCTACTAAAAGGTGGGGAAAAAAAAAAAAAAAAAAGACCAGCAATTTCTAGGGGAAACAGTAAACCAGAACTGACAGCCTCATAGGCTATATCAAAACTTTAAAGAGAAACCTAAAGAGGCACCTAAATCATAGAAAATCAGGGAAAAAAAGAGAAATCTAAGGTCTGTTTATCACAAAAGCAAACTGAATGGTGGCATGACTGATGTGTATCATCACTGTACCCATGTGCTGCTGCAACACACAGCACCAGAGAACACCGCGGAGGTCAGTGGCAAGACTTGACCCAGCCTGTCCCGGTGGAACGCCGTCTCACAGGTGTTGGATGCTCTCTTGATTTGCCAAAGCATCTTTCCCTCGGGCAACTCCAGGAATATCAACACCCAGGATGCTACCAGCTGGTGAGAGCAGCAGGGTTTCCCCTGACCTCCATTCAGAGGGGTCCATGTCAAATTAAGCAGCAGTCCCAGGCTCCCCGGGCTCCAGACACTTGGGGCCTGTGCTAACCACAGAGCTAGAGCATGGATCACTGAGCCACCTCATCAAGGAACAAGACATCGTGCTGCTGACTTTACCAGATCTGCTGCAACAGACGCCCCCCGAGGCTCAACGGGCCCTGTGAGGAAGGTCCACTTCAAGGTGGGCAGGGGGAAGCACTTTCCCTTCACTTTTAGCACCAGTGGGAAAACAAATTCTCCCTCCCTTCCTTCTATGTCTACTGGCAAAGGTTATAGAAGGCCTAAAGACATTTTCAAACACTTCTAAAATTTTTCTTTTAATCCTGTAAAGCCTCATTCAGAGGAGAAAAAAATCAGGAAAGTATAGGTGGAAATGGGGGATATCAAAAGGCATTCTTGAAATGAACCTAATTAGAACTAAAAATTTTTTTTAAAAAATTAAAATTAAAAAAACTTTTTAAAATTAAAAATTAAAATTAAAAAAAATTTTTTGACTCACCAGGCAGCTTCCATACCTCCTGTCCCCAAGTGACGGGGTTTGAGGGTGACTCTGCTGTCATCCTGAGCAGCCCCACTCCATGCCACATGAGCAGGAGGCAGTGAAGGAGACAGAGAGAAGGGGGTCCTGCCCAGGCCCTGCCACTTGCTTCCTTCTGGAATTTCCTTGCCCTCTCTGGGCCCATGTGTCTCTACTGCAGATGGGCTACTCGTGTGAAGAGTTCTGAGAAGTGATGTGACACAGCACAGGAATGGCAGAGATGCCATCAGCACATGCGCTTGTGTTACCACAGACCAGGAGGTATTTCCTGGGACACCAGCCCCAATGGCTTGGTCTTCAAGGCCCAGCATTTCCCACAACAGGAAAAGGAGCTGCTACCTGTCACTCAGACCCATCTCTAACTCAGCTGAACCCAGAGCGCTACTTAGACTCCTGTTGTTTTCACAGAACGAGATGATCTCCAATGCCCATTTTAAGGCACTAGGGTGTGCCGGTATGCAAATATTTGTCCATGGTGCAAAGCAATGTTGGAAAGCACTTTGGAAATATTTCCAAATGAAACCAAGAAGCCATAAAATGTGGCAGTGTGCTGACCTTCCTTCTTTTGGAAGGGCCTGTTTCCCCTGAAAAAAATACCAGTTTTCTAAAGACAACTGGGAATTAAAAGTTACTTCTTAGGACCTTTCTGCTCTCCCTTCTCTCCAGACTGTTCTGTCAAACCAATTCCTGCAACAATTTGGCAGTTTGCAAAGAAATGTGGACTCCCTGAACTGTCTGACATTTTGACACCTGATAAATGTCTGACACCATCTCATAGGACCAGCCTTCTTTTTAATGAAAATAAATGACATGAAAGGGATTGAAAAAAGACATCAATGTTTATTTGAGGATACAACTTATATTTTCCTGTTTAATCTTATGGAATTGTTTTTTTTAAAGCAGAATTGTGAAGTGAGACTCGCACAAGACCAGGGTTCAACTCCAGCTCCATCACTACAGGGGCTATGTGGTCATGGGCAAGTCATTTAGCCTCTGAACACGTTTGTATGTAAAATACCTACCTGATGGGTGGTCACAAAATCCCACTGGACACCTGGTAAACAGTAAGTGCTCAATACATGTCTGAAACCGTTTTTCATACCTTGTTGTTTAGGCACTTCTTTTCGACCAATCAAGTCCCAGTTGGTTGCCCCAAAAATCAAAAGCTGCCCTTTGCACTTAGACCCTTCAAGTTTCTACAGAAACAGAGAGAGAGGGAAAAAGGAATTAGCTTATTAAAGCTGCTCCTAGCTTTCCAAGGCTACTGTCCAACAGTGGCAGGAAACAAAAGGAAATAATTCACTGTAGCACTTTCACCTGGGGATGCAGCCCACGGGACACTGGCTCCATCTGATTACCAACCCCCATTCACAGGTTTCCAAGTGGGTCGCCCCAAAGCTGCCTCGGCAGCTCATTTGTTATGCCAGAGCTCATTTTTATCCTTTGATTTCCTTTTAAAACAGCTTTTGCAGACTCTAAAAAATAAACCAAATTATATTCCTCCCCTCTGCAAAGTGACTGGTAGAGGTATGTGCACGAAGCAGGTCATTTTCCCCCAGCAAGCACAGCGCTCCACTCACAGACCTGCTGCCCTGGCAGCCGCGTCATCTGTGCGTGGTAACTACACACAGCCCTGGCTTTCCCATCATCCCTCTGTTTGCCGCCCACTGTGCCAAGAGACTTTCCATGGGGAATTGGGAGGAAAACATTAGAGATCCATTTCTCCACTGCGGGGAGGAAGACATGGGAGGGTCTGACACAGGCGGCCTTCACAGGGCTCAGTCTCATTGCAGGACCATGAGCCAGGGAACCAATGGGAGCAGGGAACCTCCCAGAGCCGGGACAAGCTGTCGCTTCCAGCCAGTGTACTTCAACGCGCATCCTCGACCAGTCTCTTGACAAAGAAAGTTACGAAGGCCACCAACTCCTAGACTTTCTCGGTGGAAATCTGTGCATTTAAAAAGGCCACTGTTGGGTTGGCCCGGTGCTCCCGCCGAGGGTTCGGATCCCATGTAGAGACTGGTCCGCTCACTGGTTGAGCGCGGTGCGGGCGCGACACCGAGGGTTGTGATCCCGTTGCCGGTCCTGGTGCAGGCACAACACGGAGGGTTGTGATCCCGTTACCGGTCACGAAAAAAGACAAAAAGGAGGAAAAAAAAAAAAGGCCACTGTCCAATTCTGGGTGTCACTCATTATAATATTCTCAGCACTTTCCTTTCTTAAATGTCAAAACACACTTTTAAAAGTAGATTGTTTGTCAAAGAATTGATTCTGAACTATCCACTCAGTTCCATGCTGGCAAGGGAAGCATTAATGTCACTTTATGCTTTCTTTCTTTACATCAGCATCCAGAACATGCAGATGAAAGAGGCTTTCTTCTGTTTACGGAATTGTTCTTGGAAGGCTTAAAGAAGAAAGACCGGTTCCAGACCCAATCGTTCTAACCTCTGCAAGGTGACTGCCCAGCTGCGTGTTTTGGCAACATGATTCATGCATTTTCAAGACTACGCATCTTCACGATGAGTGAATTCCATCTCTCAGGAAACTGAATGAGACCCAAACCTGACATTACAGGCATCCCTGACAGGACAGGTCCTGCCATGCTTGCCCGCGTTTATGTGGCAGGAGGAAGATGGTCACTCTGCAGGAACACATCCTGCAGCCTGCATGAAAGGGGAAATGAGATGGCACAGGAATGGAGAACTAAGTCGTATTTAAATTATTTAGAGAACGACCTTAATCAGAGGGTAGTCCAACCCCAGCAGCACCTGCAGACTCGGGTTACTTGAATTGGAGCTTGGTTTCTGCTGGTTATCTCCCCTTCTTTAACTGGCAGGCCTGGCTGGAATAGTCTACAGGACTACAGTCAGTGGGTTCCATCAAGGTCCCCGTGGAAGGAGAGGCCCCTGAGTTCTCTGCCCAAGTCCCTACCTTGTGCTCTACTATCCCTCGAGTCAGTGTTGAGGGGCAGCAGAGGCACAGCAAGGGCACTAAGGCAATGAGGGACTGGGGGATCAGCTGCCTGGCCGCCCCCCACCTCACACAGGCAGAAGTTCAATGGCGCCTGTGTTCAGCATTCACAGTTGAACATGAGCTGTACTCACTACAGCAAAACCTCACCAGCTCTGAGACCACCCCAGGACCCTGGCTCCACCAGGCCAGAGGGAATGGGCTGAGTTCCCACTGCCAGAAAGGTTACAATGGCCTTGGGCAAGAGGGGGCTTTCTTGAGGGTTTCCAGGGTGACCTGGACATGTGGTCAAGGGCTCATGGATACTGATTATACTGGCCTATCAGTCCAGCTAAGCATTTATACAAAAAACCCAACCTTTCTGATAAAAGACATTTGTGGAGAACCTTGGTAAACAGAGTCTACTCCAGTGACAGTGGTCTGATTCCTATGACAGGCATTAACTGTTCTCATCCTAGTTTTTCAATCCTGGGATGTACTTCCTCACACTCAGATGGAGGTAACAGTGCCTCATTATCTACAGAATTGTTTGCTACGAGCCACTCACCTTTTATTTTTCTATAACTGAATTCTTCCCTCCACCTTATGTGGAATAAAAAAATTAAAATAAGGAACAGAGGGCCGGGCCCGTGGCACACTCGGGAGAGTGCGGAGCTGGGAGTGCAGTGACGCTCCTGTCGCGGGTTTGGATCCTACATGGGGATGGTCAGTGAGCTCACTGGCTGAGCGCGGTGTGGGTGACACCAAGCCAAGGGTTGCGATCCCCTTACCAGTCACAAAAAGGACAAAAAATAAATAAATAAATAAAAATAAGGAACAGAACTAACACCCCTTAAATCCCGGTCCGTGTCCCTCTTCGTCACAGACCCCACACAGTCTATCACGTGGGATCCCAGTGAGCAAACGGCTGTCAGGACTGCGACAGTCAGGAGGTTAGGAGACCCTTCTTACTCCAGCCTTCACTGATGGGCCAAGAGATCGTTTTTTGGATGAACTCAATGTGACACTGCTTGTATCAAAGGGCCATGTAGCAGAAAAGCCTGGAAAACAGCCTCCCAACAGGACACGGGGACTGCACCTTAGCTTGCTGCCTTCCCACACCCTGGTCAGGTAACCTGGGCTGAGATGAACGGCCATGGCAGGAAAATGCACCAAGCTTCTTCAATCAACAAAATGGGATTTCTGGTCCAAAGTGATTTTTGAATTATTGCCCAAGTGCAAGGAGCATGTTTACGAGGCCAAGAATCAACCTTTCCACATATATCCATTTAGAAGACTGCTGCTCTCAGAGCAGGGAAGACCCTTGAGAGAAATGCCGGAAACAACAAATTCCCTAATGGGCTATCAACTAGAACAGACTTCAAGCTCAGTTTCCAGTTGTATTTATTGGGTGCTTGCAGATTGGACAGAATTGTTTCAGGGTCCACAAAACCTCAGCAACCCAGGACTGGAAAACCTACAAAGACAGGGACAGCTTGTGACACTCACCTGTTTTCTAGGATTCAGCCCAGGCTGCCTGCTTTACTTGCTTTATAAAGATAGGAGGTTCAGAGGAATTAGGGCTGAGTCAACCCTAGACAATGACAAAATGCTCATTTGTCATAACTATACATAAACCTCAGGTCCTCAGAGTGAGCATTTTTGGAGCCTGAAATCCTAAGAAATGTTTTATGAAAATACATTTTTTACTTAAGGTAATTTTGCCCCTTAACAGTACAAGCATCTGGTTCATCTTTCACAAGTCCAACACCTGCAGCTTTGAGGTATCTGAAGGCAACCCAGTTCTAGACGACTCTTGGGCAGCTGCTTTCACCTGAACTTCCTTCAAACAGCCCTGAATGGTAAAAAGAAAGGCTTTCTGAAACTAGGGACTGCTGTCAGCCTGTGGCAGCAGACAGGGTCCCCAGGGACCTCTTAACTGGGGGAGACCAGAAACCTGGGGCCGGAGGCCAGCCCAGCATGAGGGGCAGAGTGATGGCCAGGCCTTTAGGAAAGCAATGGGGCTGCCTGGTCCCAAAGCCAACAGCTGCTGACAGGATTGCGTGTAGGGGGCACACTTTCCACGAGGAGATGATTCCTAACAGAATCACCTGCTCACCTCACTGTCTCCTGGATGTTCTGATCCTAGAGAGGTGTGTTGACCAGCCCCAAACAATCTGCTTAACAGACACTCTTGTGTTTTTAAGGGAAAAGGAGGAAGGAACAGATAGCTTTTGAATTCCTGCTTACACACTCACACACACAAAAGAACAATGACAGGGACTTACAGCATACATTATGTGTTAAATATAAAACAAGCATGAACTGCTGTGTCCACTCACAGTGGGCAATAGGATCTCCTAGTAAGACTAATAAAGGTCCCATTTCCATGAACAAACCAACTCCATGAGGCACTGGCAGGGCAGCAATGGTGTCCCTAGGGCACTCACTCCCTCCATGACTACCTTCTTGGATGAATTTTAGCATGGATAAAAATCTCCTAATTCCTGGTGACAAAACTCATTGCTCTAATAAGCCCACTGGAGCTGAGCAGCTAACAACTGCAGAAACAGATATTCGAACACAATCTTGTTTTAGGAAACACACTCAAAATAGAATACTGGAAGGAGAGGCAGAAGCCCACCTGGCCCTTCTTCTTAGTTTTCTCCTAACACTGTGATTGGAGGGCAAATGTCTGGAGTCTGACACCACAGATTAGATCTGTCAAAGGAAAACAGTTCCTGTGTTCCAGTTTCTCAGTACTCTGGCCATTGTCCTGGCACTAACCTGGTCCAAGATCCCAGGCAAGACCCTTCGACAGAGACATTTCAGTCTCCTCCAGCACATTCCATGTTAACCCTTTCACTGGGAGGGCAGTTACAAAGCATTCTCACAGGTACAATTTGCAAGGGCTTAAGGGAGACGTCATTTGGGGATCTAGTTCCACCCATGATTTTGGATAGGCCCTCAAACCCTGTGCCCCAGTCTCCTTATCTATAAAGCGGATGCAGAAAATGCATTGCTTCTAACCATTTAAACAATGCCTCAGCTCCTCTGAAGAAAGCAGCCTGGTAATGTTAACGCTTCAACGCCCTTTGGAATATGGGCACTTGGGAGAAAAGTTCCCCTGTGAGTGTCGTGCTGTAAACCCTACTTGCAAATTCTTACTTTTTTTAAGGGATGTTATCTGAGCATTTGGTGAAAGCTTTGACCTTCTCCCCCAAACGTCCCACATCACACCAAACTTGCAAAAAGTTCTGGCGGGGATGATACGGATCCCAAGTTCAGATCTCCAGTTCTGCAGGGTTTTGCTAAATTGAGTCGGCCACCTTAATTATGATTTGAGCAAACTGTGGCCTGAAATCAGACCGTGGGAGATGCCTCTTCCCCGGCGTTGGGAGGGTCTACAGCAGAGCCCACCAAGAAGCACCCTGCAGCCTGGGACCACCAGCCGCAGACAAAACCTAAGCTCCTCTCGGCCGGGGGCTTCCCCGACCTCCGGGGAGGGCTCTCGGAGCATGCGCCATCACACCCCGCCCCGGCGCCGGCAGCCCCCGCCTCCCCGTCGGCGCGAGCCGGCGCAGGGCCTCACAGAGCATGCGCGACGGCCGCCAGACCCCGCCCCCCCGGGGCGCCGGAGCCGAGGCGGCGGGAACCTCAAA